GGATGGATGGATGGCTTGAGGAGGGTGGGGCGGCTTGGCACTAGCTTAATCGCTGCCTTGGCTACTTGCTGCCGGCGGTTGATTGGATTGGGGTGGTCTGTGTAGATTTGTTTATTTGTACGTATCGGTTTTTCAGTCGACGGCGGACAGACGGACGGACTGAAATTGGGAGGGGGAGAGGGAGGGAGGGAGACGACACACATACTACTAGGCTGGCTGGTGTGGCGGATGGATCGCTGACTGACTGTGCAGTCTTTTTGTATCACTGACAGACTGACTGACTCGCTGTAGATGATCGACCACAACAGAGAAATGTGTGTCTGAGTGTCTGACTGAGTGGGGGTGGAACTCGAGGTGGTAGGCGATGTAGTCAGTCCATGTAAAGAACTAGATGCTAACTGCGCACCGTGTTTTCCACCTCTTCCGCTTCAGCTTTGTTCTTTAGCTTGCGTAGATCTGCCAGGCTTTGTCTTCACCACTCCGTGAAACCGGTCTCCCTGCAATCTCAGCTCGCATTCCGCTGCGGCAGATCTTTTTGGTTTCTGAGGCACCAGAGGGCGCATCACCTCTGTTCTCATGAGGCATTGATCGAGCAGTGATGTTGATGCTTCAACGGGTGATGAAGCCATCTCCTTATTCATCGTGGAGGCCTCTGGCGGCAGCAGCGTGGCTGCTCCTGGTTGTGTGTCGAGCGCTGCACCCGTCACGGCTCTCCCGCAGCCTGGAGCCACGTCCTTCAAGACCAGAACCCGCCTTCCACAATGCTCATCTCCGATGTCAGCCGCAGCTATTCCGTCATCGCAGACATCGCACCAGAGTGTCGCGTTCCGCCGGGTCATCCTCTCCCCCTCCTTCCCCTCTGCCCGCCCCGGCGCTGCTTGAAGGCGACGGCAGCGAGATGCCCAAGATCTTCGACCCCACCAAAGTGGAGGCGCCCCTCTATGAGTGGTGGGACAGGAGCGGCTTCTTCCAGCCCACAGCCAACGGGCCGGACGAGCACAACGGCGTCAGGAGGAGCAGGAAGCCTTATGTGGTGCCGATGCCGCCGCCCAACGTGACGGGGTACCTGCACATGGGACACGCCATCTTTGTGGCCATTCAGGTCAGCCAGAGAGTGACGGGCGGAGATAAGGCTGCTGACATGTACGCTAGCTATGCACTGTGCTCTGCTGTGCTGTGTTCCGGTTCCTATGTCAGGACATCTTCACGCGCTTTCGTCGGATGTTGGGTCAGCCCACCCTGTATCTGCCGGGCACCGACCACGCCGGCATCGCCACGCAGCTGCTGGTGGAGCGGTCCCTCGAGGCGGAGGGCATCACACGCGAATCGCTGGGGCGGGAGGCCTTCTTGGAGAGGGTGTGGCAGTGGAAGGATGAGAAGGGCGGGTACATCTCCGAGCAGATGAGGGAGCTGGGGGCATCGGCCGACTGGACACGGCTGCGATTCACACTCGAACCTAGCATGTCTGCCGCCGTAACCGAGGTGCGATGAATGGATGAGCAATCGAGAGCTTGTGTGTGACGTCTCTCTGCGTGTCCATTGACAGGCTTTTTTCCGTCTCCACGAGAAGGGTTTGATTTACCGTGGCGAGTACCTCGTCAACTGGAGCCCGCAGCTGCAGACGGCCGTGTCGGATTTGGAGGTCGAGTACAGCCAAGAGGAGGGCAAGCTCTACCACTTCAAATATATGCTGGCAGAGGCAAATGGCGACGGCCGGCAGTATCTGCCCGTCGCTACCACACGGCCAGAGGTAAGTAAGATAGATAGTCCTGGTGTGGTGTGTGGCGTGGCTGGCGGTGAGGCAGCCCATGTCTGGCCGGTTGTGTGTGCAGACAATTCTGGGCGATACGGCGGTCTGTGTGCATCCTGAAGATCCCAGGTGGGTGGGTGAGAAGCCCAGCAAAATGTATGCAGCCATCACAACACATGTGTTGGTTGTGTGTCTTTAGGTATGCTCATCTGATCGGCAAGTCGGTCGTGGTGCCGACGCAGGGGCGGAGCATCCCAGTGATAGCCGACACATACGTCGACAGAGAGGTCAGTGACAACAGACACATGCAGGAAGGAGTGCGTGTGTGCGTCTGTCTCCATGTGTGGCGTGTATGGTGTGGCGTGTGTTGTGTCAGTTCGGGACAGGTGCGCTGAAGATCACCCCTGCGCATGACCCCAACGACTATGAGATCGGCAAGCGACACAACCTGCCGCTCATCAATATCATGAACAAGGTCTGCATGCGTTCACACAATACACCCCGCACACACGGGCGCATGAGGAGGGGTGTGCGTGTGTGTGTGTGCAGGATGGCACATTGAATGCCAATGCCGGGGCCTTTGAGGGCCTCGATAGATTCGATGCGCGAGACAAGGTATTTCCATGCACCACAGACCAACATCCATCCATCCATCCATCATGTGTGTGTGTGTGTGTGTGTGCAGCTGTGGTCCACTATGGGGCAGGAGGGCCTGACGATCAAGGTGGAGCCCCACACACAACGGGTGCCGAGATCTCAGAGGTCAGTTAAAGTCCCACTCAGTCAGCTGCACAAACCACAAACCACATGCAGTGCCTCCCCTTCCCTGTGTGTCTCTGCCCAGAGGTGGGGAGGTGATCGAGCCCCTGATCTCTCGGCAGTGGTTCGTCAAGACGGACAACATGGCCAAACAGGCCCTCGACGCCGCCACGACCGGCAAGCTGACCATCCTCCCCACCCGCTTCAACAAGATCTGGTCCAACTGGCTGTCGGACCTGCACGACTGGTGCATCTCACGCCAGCTCTGGTGGGGCCACCGCATCCCCGTCTGGTACCTCACTCGGCAGCAGGACGGCACGGCCGTCACCGACGGCAGTCATGAGTCGATGTATGTGGTGGGGAGGGATGTGAACGAGGCCGTGCGGAGGGCGAAGGAGGTGTGGGGCGAGTGGGTGGGGGAGGGGGACCTGCGGCAGGATGAAGATGTGCTGGACACGTGGTTCTCGTCTGGCCTGTGGCCCTTTGCCACCGTCGGATGGCCACACGTGAGTGATGAGAGGCGGGCGAACGAGACCTCGGGGGTGCAGTGTGTGTGTCGTTTGTTGTGTGTTGTGTGTTGTGTTGTGTTGTGTTGTGCTGTTTACTCTGTGTGTAGAGCGAGAGTGATCCCGACAGCGATTTGGCCCGTTACTACCCCGCCACTGTCTTGGAGACAGGCTACGACATTCTCTTCTTCTGGGTGGCCAGAATGGTTGGTACACACACACACTCACACACATTGGTTGATTGACGCCTATCAGCAGTGTGGATCCGATTCGTTGGTGCATGCAGGTGATGCTGGGCATCGAGTTGACTGGCGAGGTGCCCTTCTCTTTGGTCTACCTCCACGGCCTCGTTCGTGACGCCGAAGGGCAGAAGATGAGCAAAACCAAAGGCAACGTCGTCGACCCACTCGACACCACAGAGAAATACGGCGCAGACGCACTCAGGTGCGCCGCGCCCACCCACCTACACACCCACCTGCACACCACACGCAAAAGGCACAGCCCATCCACATTCTCTCCCTCTGTGAGTGCAGGTACACGTTGGTGACGGGAGGTGCGCCTGGGCAGGACATCCCGTTGCAGATGGAGAGGGTGGAGGCCAACCGCAACTTCGCCAACAAGCTGTGGAACGTCGGGCGGTACGTCTTCACCCAGCTGGAGGGGCTTGACGACGCCGAGAGAAGCCGCCTGGTGGAGAGCCTGGAGGGCCCGATCACCGAGGATGAGGTGGCGGCTTTGCCATTGCCCGATAGGCACATTGTCAGGTGAGGTTGGGTGGGGTGAGCAGCCATCTTGGTTCATTGATGTGTGTGTGTGTGTGTGTGATGTCTGGTGGTGCATGCAGCATGTGTCATGTGTTAATAGAGGATGTGACGCGGTGTCTGCTGGCCTACAACGTCGCAGAGGCGGGCAAGAGGCTCTACGAGTTCATCTGGGACGAACTCGCCGACTGGTACCTACCTACCCAACACCCCCTCACAAGCACATCCATCCATCCATCCATCCATTCGTGTGTGTGTGTTCTGGTCTTGCGTCATCTGTCGCAGGTATGTGGGCATATCAAGTCTCAGGCTGCAGCAGCGTCAAGACACCTCGACAGACCAGGCAGACCAGGCAGACGACCGCTGGAGCACCCTCCGTGTGCTCCTCTACGTGCTGCTGCGGTCCCTCATGCTGCTGCACCCCTTCATGCCTTACGTCACCGAGTCTCTCTGGCAAATCCTGCCCCACCCACCCTCGCAGCACGCCCTCATCGTGGCGCCATGGCCAGCAGCCGTCGGGGACGGCCAACAGATGGAGGACGGGCAGCTGCCCAAGGACCAGCGCGCAACGGCGACCTTCCAGACTCTGCAGGCGGTTGTGCGGTCCATTCGTGCGGCACGGGCCGATTACAAGGTGGAGCCCGGGCGGAAGATCGCCGCCGAGGTGCAAGTGAGTGACGCTGCGCTCCGGTCCCAGCTGACCGACATGGCGCCGATCCTCGCGCTCTTCGCGCGCATCGACCCGGGCAAACTTGCGATCACACAGACTGCCACGAGCAGCAGCAGCAGCAGTGGCGTGGTGCATCTGGTGGTTGGTGAGGGTGTGGAGGTGGACCTGCCGATGGCCGACCTGGTGGATGTGGAGAAGGAGCGTCAGCGGCTGGAGAGGCAGAGGGACAAGGTCGACAAGGAGCTGGCGCAGCTGACGGCCAGGCTGGGCAACAAGGGCTTCATCGACAAGGCTCCTGCGGCCGTGGTGGCCAAGGTGCGTGCGGAGGCTGACGATTTGCGGGCGCAGCTGGAGGCCATCGGACGGTCACTGGAGCAGCTCAACTCGGCGGGCACACCACGGCAAGGGGTGACAGAGGAGGACACAGCAAGGGAGGCAGAAGCCGTCAGCTCGGGGCGATAGAGGGATGGGGCTGGCGGGTTGGGGTGGGTGTGTGGAGTCCGCTCGCTGATGTGTTCACAAAGTGACGTGCAGAGGGCGGATGTGTGTACTTAGCGTGGTTGTCTGATGTCTGTGTGTGTGTGGCATCAAGTGATGTGACGCGGCTGCCGCTGCGCATTGGACGGTATCGCTAAATCAGCGAGAGATGCTTGCGTGCGTGCGTGCGATGGACCGACCGATCGACCAAGCGTATCAACGACGATGGACGCCTGAATCCATAGCAGCTCTTCCTCCCGAGTCCCATTATGAATGTTTTCACCCAACAGACAGCCACGCCATCGACAAGACAAACCCAAGGCACGCAACGCACGCACGCAAACAGCCAGCTTGCCACATCCATCCATCCATCGAATTACAAAGGAAGGCAACGCCAGCCAGCGCACAGCACATGGGGATTCACACATGAAGGGGCTATACAGCAACGACAAAAAACAAAGGGGGAAACAGACGACAGCAGCTGGCCGGCCGCGCATCTATCTCTCTAGCTACCATGGTCCTCTCCCCCTCCCTCCCTCCCTCCCTCCCACCCGCCCGCCATTCGCTAACTATCACGCCCGCCCGCCGGCCGTCAGGAGGGTGCGTTGGTGGCTGAGTAGCTAGCTACGATTATCCATCCATCCCCCTTGCCATCACTTGTCAGCTTCTGGCAGCTTGGTGAAGTGCTTGTTGAGCTCCCTGGGCAACTCGAACATGTTCAACTGCAGCACAATTATGAGAATCCATTGCACGTCGCACGTGTGCTTGTCGGTGTGTGTGTGTGGGTGTGGGTGTAGGTGGCTGGCTTGCCTCCTCCCTGTCGCTGAGAAGCGGCTTCAGCTGTGCGTCCGGCAGGATGGTCCTCTGCATTGCAACGCATTGCATGCCAGCAATCCGTGTGCAGGCAAGACAGAGAGATATCGGCTGTTCATCCCACCAGTTCTTTCTCTTTCTGTAGGTTGTTCTGCTTGATGTGAGCCCAGCTGCAGCACGCCACACACACACACACACACACACGAATGCATCGGCGCCACACAAGAGCGCTCTGCCAATGCGCCTACATGGCCTTGTTGACGTCGATTCGGCTGGCCTGTTTCCTGCCCATGAAGCTGGCCAGCGCAGGGGACAGCTGCATCGCCTTGTGCAGCCCTCCAACCTTCTTCGCAGCAGCAGCGGCAGCCATGATCTCAACACACCAACGATGCAACCAACCTGCAACAAACCACACACACGCATGCATGCATGCATGCGGAGAATGCGGCGGCGTCAGTGCTCTCTTCATCACCAGATATGTGAACTTCGTCAACTCTTGCGCCGATCGCTGGTCTCGACGATATGGGGGCGTGGGGGGTTTTCCCGTCTTCAAGTTCAAGTTTCTGCCAGTGCCTCCATTCCCTGCTTGCTGGCCTTTTCGCTCAAGTCTATCACAAGCCTAGATCTTCGCATTCGACTCATCCGTCCATCGCACACCTGCCGTTCTGGGCTCATCGGCCCCCCTCTCTGACTCGAGGATGAATCTTCGGCATTTGGCGTCGTGGACAGAGCAGTTCTTCCACCAGCGGTGGGAGACGTTCGTGGACCGACTGGTCTTCCCCGGACGCACCACATACAAAATACAAGACTTCGAGGAACTCATGTGGATACCTGGTATGTGTGTGCCTGGATGTGTGTGTGGGATGACTCTCCCCGTCCCTCTCCCTCCCTCCCTCCCTCCCTCCCTGCGCGTTGCTCATGCGTGTGTCGGCTGACTGTTACCAATGCAGGGACGCTTGACTTCGGCACGGCCACGCCGGAGACGTGCATCCCGTGCCTCTACTTCCCGAAGCACGACGCGCGGTTTGTCATCCTCTACTTTCACGGCAACGGGGAGGACCTCGGACGGTGCAGGCTCTTCTGCAGGGACCTCTCGGAGGGATTCGACACACACGTCATTGCTATGGAGTACCCGGTGAGTAGACGAGTAGACCAGCCGACCCTCTCTGTCTGTGTCTCTGGCTGATGGGAGGGATGGGTGCATTGCTGCAGGGTTATGGGATTGCGCCGGGCAAGCCAAATGAGGAGATGGTGCTGCGGTACGCTGAGGCATGCATCCGGTTCCTCATCGAGCGGTGCGGCTGGGATCCATGCAAGATCATCGTCATGGGAAGATCAATCGGTATCGAAGCACACACAGAAGGACAGAAGAGACAGACCTCCACACAGAGTGCCATCACTGCCATGTACTTGTTTGGCCATGCAGGGACCGGCCCTGCCCTGCATCTGGCGGCGCGGTATGACGTCTTTGGTGCCATTTTGGTGGCGCCGTTTGTGTCGATTCGCGAGGTGGTGAAGGAGAGAATGGGCGGCTTCGCCATGGGCCTCATCAGCGACCGATTCAACAACCTCGAAAACATACGACACGTACGCGGCAGACACATACAGACAGACAAGACAAAGGCCCGAGACCCTCCGTGTGCTCTGTGTTGTGTGTGGTTGTGTGTGTGCAGACGGCGTGTCGCGTGCTGTTTGTGCACGGGCAGGACGACGGCATGTACAGCCCGAAGCACTCGCAGATGCTGGAGAAGCACACCCCCGGCAAGACCATCCTGTCCACGCCAGAGGGAATGACACACAACGTCGACCTCTTCTCCAACGTCCTCTACTTCGCCTCACACGCATGCACGGTCGGACCGGAAGGAAAGGCGGCAAAACACAGAAAGACACATGTCTCTTTCATCTGTGTCGTCGTCTTGTGCAGCTGTTTCCCGTGCCGGACTACCAGTTCATCCCGCTCTACATCCCCGAGGACTGTTTCGACCCCAAGTGGAGCCCATCATGGCACCCCAACCTCAGGTGGACACCCAATCACCGCCGCATCCCACCCCCACCCAGGAATATCGATGACATCCCCTCGCCGCGAGACCTCAACGCGCTCTCGGGCAGCCAGAGGTATGTCGGCGTCATGGAGGGAGAGGGGGAGGGGGAGGAATGGACAGGGGCGATTGCACCGGATGATCATCGTGGTCATGGCTATGCCGGCGGTTTGGGGGGTGATTGTGGTGAGGAGAAAAGGGCGGAGGGGTGCTCTGGTGCTGTTGTGGTGCGAGGGGGTGGTGTGGGTGGGAACGGACTGCCGCCGCCGTTTGATGACATGCGGGAGCCAGGGGAGGTGTTCCGCCAGTTCTCACTCGGGTCCGACTCGTCCTCTTCTGACGGCGGAGGTGAGACACATACACAGTGGGTCTGCGTACGGACCCACACTCATGGACGGCTTGACGGATGGATGAATGGGTATGTGCAGGTCCGCCCAACAGCATCCTGTACGAGTTTGTGATGGAGCAGCGCATCCCGCCCACCCCCTCACAGCCGCCCAGCCTCCGACCGACACCACGCAAACCTCCCCCGCCACCAGCAGGAGAGTGGCCTATCCACCTCGACTCCATCCCCTCCGAAGAAGACACCATCGTCCAGCCCATCCCTCCGACACCCGCCTGCCACCCGTCGCAGCCCAATATCCGGCCGCCATCCCCCCCGCTGAGCAGCCCCCGCGACCACTTGATGGTATCGCCGCGATCGTCGTTTCTGCCGTTTTCTGGGTCGCTGAGCTCGGGCAATGACTATGTGGTGTCGTCTTCGGCGCTGCCGGTGGTGAAAGAGGACTTGGGAAGGGAGAGGGACGAGGGGAGCGACTCGGTGGGGCCGATCCCTGCCATAGCGGACCTGCTGGCTGAGGATGCAATGGAGGGACGCGGAAGGGTACAGACCTCCTCACACAGACAGACAGAGACTTAACACATACCGGGCAATCTGTCATCCTGTGTTTTCCTTCCCTGTGTGGCGTCAGGCGTATCCGCTGGTACAGCTGGCGTCAGAACTGGAGGTAAACATGCCTCCCCCGCCCAGCGAACCATCACGCCGCCGATATCCCCCCAAGCCAATTCGACGAGGCACGTTTTACACAGAACAACCAGCACACCAGCCATTGCGTCTCTCTCTGCAGGTGAGCTGGTGTCGCTGTCTTCGCCCCGCCCGCTGCCCGTGTCCGTCCCACCGGACAGCGACTACTACCCAACCATGCCCCCTGCAGACCAGGCTCAAACTGACAGAGCCATCGACTACGTCATGAAACATGCACACCTGCCCACCGAGGCGGCCGCGAAAAGACCCAAGCAGTTCGTGGGCAGGGTTGGCTCGCCGGCGACAACGGCAAACACGCCTGAGAACGACAGGCGGGTTCCGTCGCTGCATCTCCCTCAGAGACAGGGAGAGATGGACGGGAGGAGGGGTGGAGAGCGGTCGAAACCGAGGTATGGCGGGTTTTTCGACCCGGGTTGGGACCCCTATGCTGTGGCGGAGGATGAGTACCAGGCGCGCCTGGACTGTCTCATCGAAGATGTTGTTGGCAACCTGCAAGACCGGTGAGTGAGGTGACCTCAGACCGCCTGAAAGCCATTATGGTCTCATGCGTTGTGGGTGGGTGTTCTCTGTCTGTCTCAGCTTTGGCTCCCGGTGTGACAACATCCTGTCAGGGCTCTCAGCCAAGTCCTCTCCACGAATCAACCCCAACCAGGCCGCCAACAACCATCCGTCCCGCGAGACGACCGACAGCACGCGGGAGTCGCTCTCGCTCTCCAACCAGCCATCGCACGAGGGGGCAAACACTATCGGCGGCATACGGGCAGGAGACGGCCTGAGAAGGCCCAATGTCACGCAGGCAAGTCACAATCATGGTGACATCTTCCGGCCGGCCAGTGTGAGCTCAGGCCGCTCTGACAAGAGCGGTAGTGGAAGCAGTGGGGCCAGCCGAGACATTATGTGTGCGTTGCGGAGTGAGCAGGACACCAGCAAATGGTCTGAGGATGTTGCGGGGGTGAGCACGACATAGACAATTAGAGACACACACACATGAACGCCATTTTATTGGGGGTGTGTGGTTCGCCAGAGTGCGATCGAAGAGAGTCAGCGTCCCGTGCCGCATTCGCTCTTGGTGGACACGTGGGGTCTGCACAGCACCCCGATGCCCCCTGCAGCCATCGACTGGGGAAAATCATCATCCTGTCCATCGCAGGAGCCCGCAGCAAGCATCCCGCCAATGACCGTCCCGCCTCTCGGGTGAGCGAGTACAACAAGGCCCACAAATCGACATCTATGCGCATGCTGTGTACGTTGCTGTGTGTGCAGATACCCGTTCAACGACATGTGTGTGGTGCCGAATGATGAGCGCGAGCACCACATGATGCCCAGAAATGAGGGTCAGCTGTGCCGTGTGATCGATCCGCCGCCCCATCCCCTCCCCGCGGCCGTGCACTCGCGCTGCGTGTCGAGCAGCTCCAGCTGCTGCTCGGCTCTCGGCTCACACGGGCTGTCGGATGCAATCGGCGCATTTCTGGACAACGAGAGCATCGCCGGCGGGTGAAGGCAGAAAGCAGGGCAGTTTGCTGACTGGTGTCTGGTTATGGCCGTTGTTATGTGCTCGGCTGTGTGTGTGACTGACGAATGGGTACTGTCGACGGTGCTCTGTGTCTCGTCTCGATAGACGGCCGCACGAGAAGGAGACATGCATTTGGACATTGACCAAAGAGAAAAACGCGAAGATCGAGCTATGTATCCAATGATTGGTAGCGGTTGGTTTCGTCTGCGTTTGTGCTTCATGACAGACATGCAATGTCACCAACCCTTTCCAACACACACGTCTGTCTCATGCAGACAGGTCAAGTTTAGCCCATTCATGGCTGCCGCTGGTATGTCTGTCCACTGCTCTCGACCGCTCGCGAAGGCCACGATATTCATCTGTGATGTCAGAACGGGCTCAATGGCAAAACCGCAGAGATTCACACGCGCACCGCCCCCATACAGCCCCTCCCTGCCCCATCGCCACCACCACCACGGTAGCCGACCATCAGATCTCCGTAATGGTTGCTGCGCGGCTTGTGCGTGCTGCTGCTGCTGCTGCTGCCGGTGTTGACCGTGTTGGTTGTGGTGTTGGCTGTGAGTGCCAGGGACAAGCCAGGGAGGCCCACATGCGACGGACGGGGACTGAACTCTTTGTTTATATCTTCAACAAACAGTCAAGTGCACACGAGTGTGACAGAGTCCCTTCATCAGCAACCGAGCAACCACTGAGACTCATCCACTGCGCGAGGACATCGCAGGCACTCATGCATCAAAACGATGTACCGCTACTCATCCACAGGCAGCCACATCCACAAGAGTGAGTCTGTACAAGTCAGCAGAGTCAGTGTGTCAGTCGGTCATGACCCCTCTGTCCTCTCCCCCGGCTATGGCCCCCTTAGCTAACACCTTCAGCTGCAAATGGCCATAGGACATCAGCTGCATCGTGGTCTCGTTGTGCTCCACGTGACAGCCGACGTCTACGTCTGTCAGCTGGTATCCTCCCTTGACTACCTCATAGCACTCAGTGGCCAAGGCGCGCATGCAGCCCTTGCCATGCTCCTCCATGGCCTGACACAGCTCCCTCTCTCTCTCCCACGCAGCATCCTCATCCTCATCCTCATCATCCTCCGCCTCATCCCCTCCCTCTAGCTCCCCATAGTCCCGGTGGAAGTCAAACTGGTCTGACGCTACATAAAACTCAAACTCTGCCTCGTGTGCGTGAGTGAGTAAGGCCAATCGCATACACGACAACGCAGCTGCCTTGCTCACTGCGGCCCACATGCCGCACCGTATCGGGACGACAAGGCGGTGCACAGCCGGCAGTGTGTAGTGGGGGATGGGGTCAGGCAGTGCAGTCAGATGCGAGCCCACACAGACCTCCAACACGTCCAGTTTGTCGGTGCTCATGTGCGACAGGCACTCACACACAGTAGACAAACTAGACGTGGTGAACTCGACTAATCTGACTCCCCGCAGGCTGCCTAGCAGTGTAGTGAGTGAGTTGGGGGCGGCCGGCAAATGCCACGCCTCCTCAGGTGGGGCATCGCCATCGGCCACAAACCCCAGCAGGGCATCGAGGTAGTCTATCTTGGGGAAGCGCACGTTGTTGCCGTTGTCATCGACCTCCAGCAGCCATGTGGGGATGCTCTCAATCGTCGACGACGAATCGCCCTCGTCCACGAGGAGGATGCCTGCATCGGGGAATGTCAGCAGGTCCTTCCACGAGCGGTGGAGAGGGGTACCACCCAAATACAAGTGCACCTGAGGCACACAGGCAGCCATGGTGTGCACAACACGATAGATAGATGAAGGGTGGAAGAGCGCTACTGTCACTCGCTTCCTCCGACTTACCATCGCTGCCTCGGACGCCGCGTCCTTGACCACGCCTGCCACGGGGCCACGCACAGCAGGAGGGCCGACCGAGCTCGATGCACCCTTGTTGCACTCCAGGAAGAAGTCCTTGCCCAGCCGCCACTCGATGGCCACACCAACTCGCCCCGCCCATGTGAGGAAGTCGTGGAGGGGGTGGGTCTCGTCGCCGAAGCTGGTGCTGATGGTGGGGCTCCCGTACACAAACTCGATGGTCTTCGTAATGCCTACAGGACAGGGAGGCAGACAACATGTACCGTAACGGAGAGCAGAGCAACACGTGTGATGCCTTCCCCTCTGAGCCCCCGTGCTTACATCTGTTCTGCTCTTTGCCCCAGTGGGTGTCGAGGGCCTTCTGCAAATGAGTCAGGTGGCTGCAGCTGTTGCCCCCGATGCCCAGCCCGCGGATAGTCGTCAGGTAAGGGCACTGCCCCAGGGCACTGGCGAACTCACACCACTCGCCGTCGATCGTGTGCCAGCTGTCAGCCGTTGTGAGTGTGCGCAGCTGGGGGGCCGAGCGCACGATGTGGGTGACGTCGGGAAGCTCGCTCCGCTACCCTGTGCTGACCCGCAAATCGACGAGACTCGGGAACGTCCAGTTGGACTCCCTGAAACCCACAGCACCAGGGGTGGGGAAACAGTATGACACCAGGACACCTGCCTTGTACTGCCACTTCACTCACCGGAAGAAGCTGTTCCATGACGAAGACGTGACGTGCAGCGTCTCGAGCTTGTCGAAGGCCACTGGGGGTCGTAGGGGCACCGGGGCGTCTTCACGGTCGATGAAACCCGTGGTGTAGATGTGTTTGAGGGATGCCCTGGAGGCCTCGAGGCAAGTCGTCACAAAGGAGAGTGTGTAGTGGTAGTTGCAGAAGTAGGCATCCTTCCTGTCTTGGATGCAAGCGGTCGTGACGTGGCCCTGAGTGACCGGACAGGCAGGCAGAAAGACGGATCCACCATCCGCACTCTGGCTTTGCCGCACGACAAGACGCCCTCACCAGTTTTTCCCTCAGACGTGAGCATGGTGCCCTGTCAAGCCGTTGCCAAGTGCGGCACTCGTCCTTTGCGATCGTGAGGTTGCGGTATACGCCGAATGGCGTGTCGTCGGTCTTGCCCTCGGTGGTGTGTGTGTTGCCGGTGTAGTCGGCCTTGCTCCTGATGTCCTTACTGAGACGACAGAGGACGGTGGCCTCAATGGTGGTGAGGAACGAGGCCATCTCGCACAGCAACGGGCCCTCAAGGCTACACAGACACGGCCCACACACAACCTGACACACACACACACACACACAGAGAGAGAGAGAGAGAGTCTGAGGGCGTCAATGGGCGTCACGCCCACGTGTGTTCATCTGGTTGACCTGCTGCTGTTGCTGCTGTTGGTCTTGGGTTTGCCCATCTTGCTGAGGGCCGCCAGACTGACCGCCTGCACAACACACACACACACACAGACAGGCAGAGAGGGCATTGGGGTGCGTCTGATTGGTATGGATGTGGTTCATGTGCTGTGTCGCCACCTACCGCGACTCGCTGCAGCAGCAGCAGCGTGATGGCCTGAGTGACCCTCCAATCGGGCCCGCTTGACCTCCGACACACATACCTGCACACACAGACATACGCAGGGAGAGAGGACCCATGGCTGTCGGCATACAGCCTTGGGTCGCCGTCGCCATTTGCTTACCGAATTTGGTGCGTCACCGACACCCACCTGATGGCATACCGCACAGCACGAACACACAGCACACACACACATATGCCATGGCTCCTCGTACGTGTGTGTGTGTGTACCGGTATGGAAGTGTCATGTGCCTCGTTGGCCTCAGCTATGCCCACCGACCCTCCAGCACCAACCAACTCATCCTGACACCACACCACACCGCTGCCGCTAGGTCTCGCCAGCTACCTCCCTCTACTCACATGTGTGTGTCTGTGTACCTTTGCAGATGTGTCTAAAAGGGCGTCTATGCGCGACAGACTGCTCGCCACGGCCGACAGCTCACACTGCACACACAAACAGGCACATAGGCCCCCCAACGCGACCAGTGTAAGCCATCCGTCCACACGCTCACCTGTACATCAGTTCGGCCGTCCAGCAGCTTCTCCGCCGCCCGAGAGGGATCAGCCGACCACTGTTGGCACCAACAAACCAACGCACACATGAAAGCTGCGGTGCCTCTCTGCCTGCCTGGGTGTCAGTGTCAGTGTCATGTCGTGACCTTGGACTGAACTCTCTCAAACAGTGTCGATATGCGATTGAAGTCTTCTTGAACTTTACTAACGCCGCCATCCGCACGTGCCTGCACCAACAACACAGAGGGGAGAGAGCGATCTTCGCAGTGTATGCGGCGAGTGTCGAATGAGGATGGCTGACCCGTTCGTCGGGGAGACCATAAGTGCCGCTGCCAGGCAGGGCAGACCGACCACCACCGCCACCATCGCCCTCGCCTGCACCCACACATATCCACCAACATCAGTCACTGTTGGATGATTCCTCTTCCCCTCCCCTCCCTCTGCGTATATGTTTGTTGCACACACGTACCTTCTTCCATGACGGTGGCGGGGCTGTCTTATCCTTCACCCGACGCCCGGCAGCCGTCCCATCACCATCACAAGGCAGCCGGGACGCACCAGGACGGGACGTCGAATGGATGGAATTGCAGCATTTCCTTGTTCTCTTTCCTCCGCGCACCACCCTGTGCTCAGTGGCAGCCGTCGGGAAGGCTCCCGAAGGCAGAAACCATGCCGCAGCCGATCGATGCGAGCTTGAAAGTGAGGAAGAAAAGATGCCTTTCCGATGGGTTCATATCGTCCTCTACTTGTCGTAACGCTGCCGCTTTTGTTCATTGTCGCTGCTGACGCCACAGCAAGACCAACAGCGAGGAAAGATCTGAGAGCTGCTGTTGGTGGACACATCAGGTGGAAGCATCTCGCGCGTCGGCTTACTTTCCTGCCACCTATAGTCACTGGTCAGACGGAAACAATGAAATGCAAACAGATCCGTCACTTGCTGCATGTCTGTGCAGATTGGCTTGTGTCTGATCCTGGCATGGAGCGAGTGAGGGAATGGCTCAACAAGCACGGATCTACCATCGGCAGACGGGCAGCAGGTACCGTACGCACACAAGCACCAACACACATACATAACATGCATGGCATGTACACCAATGCACATCGACATGCGCTTTGACTCGCACCCTCTGCATGAGTGTCTGTGATTCATTGCAATCAGTGGCTGTAGCTGTCGGGGCGTCTCTTATAGCCGTCCTCAGCCTCGCGCAGGACCACCTGATATACTTCAAGCGCAAGTACAAAGGCGCTGGCTTCTATGAGGAGCAGAGGAGGGCATTCGATGAGTTCCTCGGCAGCATCGGGCGGCAGCCAATACAAGACATTCAGTTCAAGGTGACTGACCTTGAAACAAAGACCAAATGGTGCATATGAATGAATGAATGACACACACACCACGCTGCTTGCAATGGCTGCCTTCCCTCCCTCTGGCTTTCTCAGGATGCTTCAATCGGCCACCAGACGGCGTTTCTCATCCCTCCTAGATCTTCCCGTGTCGGCACGGTGGTGAGCCCCCGGTCGCCTCTCCGGCTGTGGGTGTTATTCGGGGGCAACGCTGCCCTCGCACTGGACTGGCTGGAGTTCGTGGGCGTATACCTGAGGAGGCGGGTCAAAGCGGGAAAGGACGACAGTGGAGAGGAGGACGATATGGCGTTCCTGCTGGCCGATTACCCTGGTACAATCAATGGCAGACAGGCATTGGTCTGCTATGCAATCACGCTGTGGCCACCATGATGTGATTGAAGTGCATTCATTGTGTGTTGCCTGCCGTGTGAAGGCTACGGCGAGTGTGAGGGCCGACCCACCCCAGCCAACACCATGAAAACGTCAGTGCAGGTGAGCTGAGCGCTGCACTACACGGTCCACTATCGTATCCATGTGTGCGTACCTACCGTACGTGTGTCGTTCGTTTATGTGTCTGCGTCTGTATGTTATGTGTGGTGTATTGGTTGACTCGACTCCTGCCTGGCCTGCAGGCGTTGGATGCCTGCCTGGATAGTTTATCCCGGCATTATTCGGGGCCCTTGCCGCCCATCGAGCTCAATGTCTTCGGCCACTCGATCGGAGCAGCAGCGGTCGGTACTTACAGACAGACAGACGTCATCCATATGCATAGAAAGATAGGATTTTTTGTGTCGGAATGTTTGTTTCTCTGTTCAGGGCCTGCAGCTTGCGTTGGCTGTCGCACAGCGGCTCAACCATGCGGGCAACCCCAAGCCCGCCTACCATTCGATCTCACTGGGGCGGCTGCTGCTGATATCGCCCTTCACATCTCTGGTCGACATGGCCACTGTGGTCTTTCCCATCATCCCTACAGCCGTCGTGGAAACGCTGCTCGTCCACAAGTTAGTTGGCGACACGGACGTTGGCCGACACAGACACCTACCTAGTCACTGTCTGTCTCATTCTTTGTGCACGTGTGGTGCACACCTAAGGTGGGACAACAGGAAGCGGCTGACGTCTCTGCTTGACCCACACTTGTGGGAAGACCACGTGTCTGATTCGGCCATCCCCCTGACCGTCATGCATGGCGATCGTGACGAGGTCGTCCCTGTGTACATGGGGAGGGAGCTGGGCGGCCTCGCAAAGACACTCACCCAGCAGCAGCCAACACCATTCGCCACCCGCGTAAGTATGAGTGCAGTTACGATACGCACTTGGCTGCACTTCAGGTGTGTGCCTCCCTCCCTCCCTCCCTCCCTCCCCGGATGTGCCGATGGATGTGTGGATGTGTGTGCGCAGTATGTTGAATTTGCCGGTGCGGACCACAACACGCTGATTTGGGACAATATGGCGGACGTGTTGAAGGCCATGGATCAGCCGAGGCCTCAGGCAGCATGTCAGTCGGCCACAGGGCAGAATGGCGGAGCCGCATGCTCCAACAATGGCAAGCTGTGACCTAGCTAGCGCCTAGGTCTACGATGGGAGGGTGGTGATGCGTTTGTCGGTAGATGTCATTGAGCAGCATCCATCCATCATGTGCAGGGCAGGCTGACCTGTGCGGTGTGCTGGTGGCAGCCAGCCAAATGAGGCCTGTGTGTGTGTGATGTGGCCATGTGATGACTGACAGGACTTCCATGGAAGATTCACTGACTCCTGGGTTCCCTCCAGGTCAGGTCCTCTACAAACACTCACTCAGTCAGTGAGTCAGCAGCGCCCACCCACACACACGCCAGAATGGTCCGTACGTCCACGGGCTGGCACATCCATCCATCCATTCACGAATCAAAGGGACTGAGAGAGAGGCCGCCATGATATGTATGACCCAGCAATCCACCATCCCCACACGCACTCATCTGCGCCCTCCACGCTTCGGGAAGGAGGGCGCAGACGCTGAGGCAGCCATGCCGCCGCCTGACACATTCATTACGTGCACAGAAGCACACAAGAGGGAGAAGAGGAGTCTCGGACTCTTCATTCGAATGTTCCTCCCTCCCTCCCTCCCTCCCTCCCAGGCCACCTACCTGCAGCTGCGAGTGTGCCTCCTCCCTTAGCAAGCCGGCCGCCCTTCTTGGCGAATGTCTTTTCGCAGATAGGTATGTGTCTTTTTGCGGCGTCCTGGTTGAATGTGCGGCCGCAGTGGGGACACGACACCATCGACGGGTCAGGACCCACCGCATCCAAACGAGCCTGCAGGCCACGCAAACACACACATGCCATCATGCCATGCACCACAGCACGGGAAGGAGAGACATGGATTGGTGTGGGTGGTGTGGTGTTCTCTCTTGCCTGTGCTTCTTGTCTGGCTTCGTCTGTGGTGGCGCGCGATGCTGCGATGGCCGCACGGAACGCTTCGCTCTGCAAAGGGGGCAACGACACACATAAATTCTTGTATAGGCGTGTCCGTGCGTGGCCGGTGGCTACTTGTTGTTTCCATGCGGGCGTCTTCTTGATAGGAGCATCGCCGCCGCTGCCTTGTCCACTGCACACCACACAGGCGGGGCGGGCAGAGTGAAAGAGGTAGAATGGCATGGGTCAGTCGATCAAGACAAGACACATACACACAACACAACAGAGAGACACTCTGCGGCCGTTGCCTGCCTGCCTCCCGTGCGGTGCATACGTTTTCCTTTTGGCTTTTCTCTGGTCGTGTCTAAGTCTGCGGAGCGCCTCGGGCCCGCCGTCCACGCCTGACACGCGCAGGGCCGCCACGTCGAAGGGCTTGCGCTTCTGCTGAAACACCTGTGGGCCAAGACAGACGTATAGGACCTTAGGTATCCCTACTTAGTTGTGTGGAGAGTGAGTGATTGAGTGCACATTTCCATCCACAGCATCCGTCCATGGTATGCCTGACCTTCTGACACACTTTCCGATGCTTCGCGAGTGCCTCGGGGCGAAACGAACGGCCGCAGCCGTCACACTGACGGACGCCCACACACAGTTTGCTTGCGACACGACAGCCAGCAATCAAGCCCCGGCCGTTCTCTCCCTGGCTCTTCCTGACAATCTCACCTCAGTCAGGTCGACAGGCTCAGCAACGGCGTCCTCCTCATTCGGGATACCCCCACCCGACGCCGCTCCAACACCACCACTGGCAGCACCTACAGGCTGCCGCAGCACCTCAAACCCACGACCCCCAACAACACCACTGACAGCAACCCCCTCGCCCCTTCCCTCATCGCCGCCCTGCCCCAGCCGCTCCCTGCTACTCATCTGGAGGGGACGAGCAGACCAACCACCACCACCACCGATGCCGCCACCTCTGGCAGGGAGCATTGATGTGTCATCCTCAGGCGAGAATGGCTGTGGCTGTCTGGCGATTTGCCCGGGCGACACGCGAGATGCGCCCGGCACTGGGCGTGCGGCCGCTGCCTGGGGCCTGGAAGAGTAGCTGGACGAGGGGTATGAGGGGTGGGACGGCTGGGGGATGCCGGGAGCTGGAAGACCCTGCCTGAAAGGAAAGATAACAGAGAGGAGAAAAACACACACCGATACATATTTGGTGAGATATATGTGGCTGGTGTGTTTTCTGTTCCCTACTCGGCGGCTCGCTGTTCTTTTTGCCACGATAGGCTCTGCCTGCGCATCTTGGCCTTGAGCAGCCTGAGCCCCTGCCTCGCCTCGTTGAGGTCATCATCACTCGGACCAGGGGGACGGGAAGACGATGCACCACCGTAATAGGGATGGTTGTACGACATCGCCGGACACCCGCTCTCCTTTTTCGTAAATCTTCAAGATTGGAGCCGAAAGGCGTTGTGGTGTTTTCGGCGTTTGCAAGGATGGGTAACATGTTGACGGGCGATACCATCCCCTGTTTGGTGACGATGGTGGATGTGCACGCCCCCCGCGCCCGCAACGCATTCTACTATGTCAACGTCAGCACGGGAGGCACATCCACCAAGGTACGGTACGCGCGTAGAGAGCGAGGGAGGGAGGGGCCCAGATGAGTGGATGAGAGAGAAGGCCAGAGAGGGCGCAGGGAAGGAGGAGAGTGGAGAGATCAGGCGACACACACACGGGGGAAATGTCGATGGTTTCTTGTTGCCATCCATCCATCCATCCATCCATCATTCTATCCCTCTCTGCATCTGTGTGTATGTGTGTGTGATTGTGTAGGTGATAGGTCGTACGCAGACCGCGTGTGTCGAGTGTGGCGTGTACACGATCCTGACGTTGGACGTGTACGAGTGCCCGGAGCCCATGTTCACGCCGGAGATAGCCCGCCAGGTGGGCAGCCTGCGCATCCCCATGGACCGCCTCTCGGAGCGGTACAGCAGCGGCATCTTCCAGCAGTGGTTCAACCTCGACACCGCCACAGACCCCAGAGCCACACACACCGACAGGCTCGTACTCGCACAGAAGTTCGAACAGGTAACTAACAGGGGGCCCGGGGAGGACGGATGGGTGCACTGGGGCTGGGGACGTGGGAGGGAGGGAGGGAT